ACAATTACTAGAGCTAATATTTATATTCGAATTTTAATGGCTAAAGCTTAACTGAGTTATTATGTATTACGGGAGAAAAGTATCCCTTTATAATTAATTTTATATATAATGGAATTTGTAGAAATTATAATTATTATTAATAATTTAATTATTCTTTGAATTATCTTTATTCTCATTTTCTATTAATACCAATAATTCATCGAATACCAGGAATTTCACGACTTTAAAGAGCTTGTAATACTCACGTTAAAAATAGCATAAATGGAGAAAATAGCATAAGTATGATTACGGTTTTGGTAATATTATTTGTTAATTAAAAGTGATATAATTTGAATTAATTAATTTTTGATCACATTGATTTAAAGATAATAAAGATAAAAAATTACAAAAATTATTATGTGGGTTATTTATTAAAAGTTTAATATAATTACGTTAACAAGAATAACAATACTATCATATTAAAAAATAAAAAAGCATAAACGAATTATAGAAGGTAAAATACATTAAACTAGAAAAGAACTTAATGATCTATTTGATGCTTAAAAATAAAAAAAAAGTTGATTTTTAAATATCTGGCCACTCTTTTAATTGATTAGTTCTCTGTACGCATTCATCAAGTCTATTAAATTCAGCATGAAGTGCAGGTGAAATCCGCATATCTGATACGGATTCGTTAAACGGCTGTAGAATCAATAAATTATCTAATCTTTGGACACGAGAAAGCATTACATATAGACCGTTGCTTGTATTACTGCCTGTAAGATCAACGATCGCTTTGTGAAGAGTTCTTCCTTGGCATTTATAGTCAGTGAACGCAAATGCAGGGGTTAAAGGAAGCTGGAATCGTTGAAACCTTCTTTGAATTTTTGACCCATCACATTTCCAAATAGTTCGTATGCAGGCACGTTTAACAGGTATATAGGTACATGATTGGGTTGAAGGTGTTGATAAGAACCCGGTGCTCTACCTATTAGTTCGATGATGACATATTTTGGTGGACTTTTTAATATTACCTCATTTTTACCACAAGGCGAAGGATCAATTGAGTCTTTATCATATACAATTTTTCGAAGAATTCCTTGTAAACCATTTGCCAGGTTATCTTTTGCACAAATATTAATAGTTATAACAACTTTCATATTAATAGATAAAGGTAATATACCACAAAGTGCGTTGTCTTTTGTATCAGGTGTTGATAAAAATTTTAGGCGAGTATTCCCTGTAAGAACAGTTCGGTTATAAGAATCACACGCACAAGAATAAATAAGTGGCTGGTTATTATAATAAGCATGCTCTCTTGTGGCATCAAAATTAAGTTGGACATGAAGGTCTTTTCTTGTTATAAGAAAGATAGCATCTCTCCAATCCACTGAATTAATTCGATCATCACTAAGAATTTTTGATCGTAGAACAGATTTTTGCTCTTCAACAAGATTTCCTTTACGCATACTTTCTAGAATGGTAGCATAGAAGGGGTCATCTAACTGATGCATTTGTTTTTTCAGGTAAATCACATGTTTAACATTCAACCAAAGGTTTCTTCCAGTGGTATTAGTAACAGATCGGGTGCCAATTGATAAAGGGTCAACATTACGCTTTCTTTTTTTGGATAATTTGGTAACTTGATAATTAATTATATGATACCTTATAACCTTTGTTTGATTTGTTAATGCGAGTCAATAAAAGTTTTTATCCGTCAGGTACTATGTATACACTGACGGAAAAATTTCCATATTATTGCCGCAGGTTATTATTAAAATCATGTGACATATACTAATTGTAGATTTTAAAATTCTCAATTTCATCTTTTTTAAAACTAATATGCCCAGAATAAATTACATATAGAAAAACAAATAATATTAAAAATGGTAGTGGAAATGATAGTGTATTTCCTTATTATTATTATGTTCGGATGAAGATTCATGAAGTTGCTTAATATCATGAAAACTTGGTATAAAATATGGTGCCGATTGATTAGAAATAGACTTTAAAGGTGGTCGTTGACCTGATAATCTTGGAATACGGGACCTGAAAGTGGATTTCTTGTCTTAATTAGACCTTATTGAAGTTGGAGTAGATGCCGAATTTAGTGTTCCAGCCCGGGTCACGGGTCAGAAATTGCTCTAACCCGGGTCAAAATTCGGGATAGTAAAAAAATTATTTTTTACAGCTATTATCATGATTCCTGAAACGCCTGATAAAAATTAGCTGGATGATTGTTTGGCCGATTCGGTTAAGTTAGTATGATCCATTATATAATAAAAATAATAAAAGCTATTTTTGTATTATCCGACCAATTATTATAACAATAATGTCAATGTTATTAAATTTTCGTTCCAACGCTTGTCCAACATGCTTTGTGTGTTTAGCTTACACGAAAATTTATAGAAAAGACTGCTCGTGTCAACCAATAAACCTTAGCAAGAAATCTAAAAAAGGGACGGATATAAATTAGACTTTTATAAAAATATATTACGCGAACATGTGCCACTATTAAAAAAGCTAAATATGATTATGAATTTGTCGACTAGTTTAACAATGAATCTCAGGTTAGGATTCCAAGCGAACAAGATATTATTAATGTTTGTCGAGAATACATGAAGAATTATCAAAGTAAAAAATTTTATGATTATATTTATTTATATATTGAAAAATTTTAGTACTAACGTTCAAAAATGGGGTCTAAAATTAAATGAAGTGGATTTAAGAATTAAAGATCCATCTGAAGCAGATGGTTTAGAAGACTTGCCGACATCTAAGTGTTTAGCAATTTGTCGAACTAATAAGCCTTCTAAATTTTTTTCAACAATTCCAGCAAAAGTGCTTTGTAAATATCATTTCTAGAGATATTCGACAAGAAACGAAAAATAATTAAAAATAAATAAATGACTTCGTTTGAACGAAAATGGATTTTTCCAAAGAATATGAATCGAAATTTAATTCAATTTTTTAAAACAAATTTTCGTTGAAAATAATTAAAAATGAATAAAGGCTTCGTTTAAATGAAAATAGACCTTGCCAAAGAATAGGAATTGAAATTTTGCGCAATTTTTTAAAATGAATTTTCGTTGAAAATAATTAGAAATGAATAAAGGCTTCGTTTGAACGAAAATTGATCTTGCCAAAGAATGAGAGTTGAAATTTTACACAATTTTTTAAAGTCTAATTTTTCGTCTTCGGCAAGAAATGAAAAATAATAAAGGCTTCGTTCGTTTGAACGAAAATGGATCTTGCTAAAAAATAGGAATTGAAATTTTACACAATTTTTTAAACTCAAATTTTCGTCAAATGAATAAAGGCTTAGTTTGAGCGAAAATGGACCGTGCCAAAGAATAGGAAGAAATTTACGACTTCTAAGAACATGCCAATATTTAGTCTTATTGTAATATATATAGTTATGATATGTCTGTTACTGTTCCCGAAATCTATAACTTACCAAAAAATCATTCAACCAACTTTTATCAGGTGGTTCGGGATTTATGATACTAGTTGTAAATGTTTTAACCCCGTTTTTTTTAAAAAAAATAAAAAATTCGATGTGCCGAATGGCACTATTCGAATGCCATTCGACATCCCTTTCCGTGAAGTCATGAATGTCGCATGTCGAATGGCATTCGAATAGTGCCATTCGGCACACCGAATCTTTTATTTTTTTACTAGTATACATAAAGAAAATTTTATTTAATCGCTTTAATTTTATCAAAGTTATTACATTTTGATATTGAAAGTCCTAGATTTAAAACTTCGCCACTATGTAAAATCTCATTGAATAAGTTTTTTTGCGAATAAATTTTATGATTGTCCATAATTGTCCATATGACCCGTTGACCCGGGTCATGACCCGGGTTAAATATCTGACCCGTCGGGTCACTATTATCTGACCCGGGTCGGAACACTAGCCGAATTACTCAAATCTACAAAATTATAATATAATTAAAATATATCGTTAGCGATAAATTAATAACTAGAATAATCCATACCCGAATACTCTTAATATTGTTCTGGCCCATTACCAAGTGCATATTTTTCTGCTGCCTTCAGCTTTATATTCCTTTCCATCAATTCGTTTTAACCATACGAGAAATTTGTAAAGAAAGTTTTCAAGCTCAACAACTTCGGATATGCTTTCAAATAATTTTTCATAATTAGATACTTCTCTATATCTATCGACCGTTCGTAACCATTTTGCCATACATTTATCCGTATTATGTACTCGTGAGAGTTTAAGTAGCTCTGAAAAGTCTTCGTCAGTTGGTAATGTATTATGTAACATTGAAGTATTAAAGAGAGAGTTAAATCAAAACAAAATCGCTCATTTTATCATTTATATATTCATCATTCGAATTATTAGTTCTTATTATTTGTCGTTATTAATTAAAAAAAAATCAAACCAAAATCACTCATTTTATCATTTATATATATTCATTCAAATTATTAGTTCCTATTATTTATTAATTAAAAAAGTTTATTTGTGCAATAATATGGTTCCGTCAGTGTATACGTCATACCTACCGGATAACAACAAATACTGCTTTTAAATTATCAAATATGAAATTATGTTTCGAAAAGGTATTTAAATTTAAATAATTTGTTATTTTTTGCTCTTTTGATGTATAATTTTCTAAATTGAATGTTTGTTAACCCTAACTTAACAAGGTTTAATAAATAAACTGAAATTTTATAAATTTATTGACAGCATTTAATCAATAATTATTAGCCCCCTAGCGATACAAACTTAAAAAATTCAAATTAAATTTCAAGAAAAGGTGTAACATAAAATCAAAACAAGATACACCTAAGCCCTAACCCTAATGCTGGTACAGTAGCGAAATTTATTAGATTAGTGATGCTAGGGTCATAAACAATTCAAAGACAACTGTACATAAAGTACTAATTTAAAACAATAAAAGAAGAAGAAAAAAAAAAGAAAAACCACAAGAAAAAAAAAATACGAAAACTTTATATAGAATTCCCTTGGTATAGTGTCCATTGGTTTATGTTCATTCAATTTCCTTCACTACATTGCTGTTAAGAAAAGATAGTAGTTCTAACTTAGAATCACACTGATTTTCTATAAACGGATATATTTAATGATTAATAACAGAGTATAACTAATATGCAAAATGCTAATAACAAAATAAAAAAATTCTCACTTGGACATTCTAGCGGTAATATTAAAATATGAGAAAATTTAGTATTAAATTATTAATTGATTTTAAATTAATTCGGCTTACCTTCCGTTCTACCATAGCATTGTGGTAAACCTCCTTCTTTGGGTTGATTAATGGTTATATTTTCTAAAGCTTGCAAAATCTTTTTAATATTTGGTCGCTTTTCTGGATCAGTTTCCCAACAATTCGTATAAAGTCTACAATATTGTTTATAATATTCATCATCATCATTTGGCATTCCGTTTGCTTGTTTTTCCCTCAAATTATTATTTATAATATCCGATTTTAAGTTTTCGTCATATGAGCGATCCTTAAAAGGTTTGTGACCATTGGCTAATTCCCAAAATAATACTCCAAGGCTGTAGATATCACTTTTTTCTGAGTATTTTTTATAACCGTGTTGGTCTTTTAATATTTCTGGTGCCACAAAAGGAAGAATTCCAAAAACAGCATTATTATTTTGCTTTGTGATATATTTTGCATTTCCAAAATCAATTATTTTTGCAGCCCCAGAAATTACAATATTTTTATCATGCTGTAATAGAAAATTTTACTATTATTTTAACAAGCTATGACATCATATACAATAGTTGTAGAATTTTTATACTTACCAAATCTGCATGTAAAATTTGTTCACAATGTATATAATTTAATCCTTTTGTAATATCCATAGCAAACCGTAGCTGAGCTTCAAAATTCATTACACGAAAATGATTTTTCAAATAAAGCCTTAAGTCACCACCAGCTGCGAATTCCATTACAATATAATAAATATGATTCTCTTTATCTATTATAAAAGTATATTATTAGACGAAGACTTAACCAAAACAAATGATCACTATAAATTACCTTTGCTAATGCCCAAAAACCTAATAATATTTTTGTCAGGAACATTTAAACGTTTCATAATATCCAATTCATACATAAAATCCGTTGAAGTATCAAACTTTTTGCAAACTACAAAATCCTTACGAGCTGGATAATAAGCTCTTATTACGCGATCTGCAATAGAAGAAAATAATCATTAAAAGATATGTGAAATCTTTAAAATACTTTATAATCTTACGTTCATCTCCAATCTCCTCTTTATTTTTTAATTCGTTCCAATGTATACATTCTTCTTTTTTTTGATCCTCTAAATCGTTAAACTCTTTATCAACATTTGTTATTTTATTTTCTTTCCTACTAATAGGTTTATGATTTAAAAAATAATTGCGTGGGACTTTTGATTTAAGAAAGGAAATATGCGGATAAATTTGTGCCCATGAAAATCTACAGCATGGTTCATGCTCCCATGCTAATTTGAAAAAATAAATTAAAATTTTAATAAAAATATTAAATTATGATAAAGGGCTTTTTTAATCCCAAAACCTCTGCAAAGTCCAATTACTGTAAATAATAGCAAAAACTTTACCGCCTTCAATTATATCTTTATATGAATTAAATATGATTTCATTATTCGTCAATTCCGGAATGGGATTAAAGACTTCTCTATAACCATTATTAACGTGGCTTTGAATTTCTTGAACAGTCTTTCCAAGATAAGGGATTTTTTCATAAGCTAATTCCCATAAAAGCATTCCAAAGCTATTATAATTGAGTGAACAATTCAGTAAGAAAAATGTCATAGTCTACTAAAGTAAACATAAATTATACAGTAATAAAAATAACTTACCTGAAAATCTCACAATTGAAAGTATATTGATTAACGACAACTAAATCTTTTAATATTTCTGGCGCCATCCAAGGTACGATTTCTTTAATATTTGGTATTTTACAACGTTTAGAATCTGAAAGATGAGAGTACTTAAAATGTGTAATTTTTGGAGCGAGATCCTTCGTTAACTGTGAAAGTTTTATGTCACATTAATATTTAATAAACTGAAAAATTTACATTAAATTCGCAAATGAATAATCAATTAAGTATATGAGTGCGTGAGTGCGACTGCATGTAAATATTTACTATGATAAGTTTCACTTATCACACTCATATAATTAATGATTAATTACTTACTAAAATATTTGCACATCGAATTTCATTATGAATAATTGAACAAGAATGCAAATATATTAACCCATTGCAAATTCCAGCAGCAATAAGTAATTTTGCATACCAATCAATTCTATAATTTTCATAGGCATTTTTTAAATTTCCATATTCAGCCCACTCACTTACTATAACATGTAAACCATCAATTTCTGAAAGTCCATAAAAGCGAAGAATGTTTGATGATTCTCGAAGATTTTCTAAAATAAATAACTGGATTTGGAGTCGTTGATCTATTGAATTGTCATCTGAAATCGGCACATATTTGCAAGCAACTTCTATACTGTTATAAAATTTTTTTCTAATACTATAAACATATTTCCCCTCACTTTTATCGTCAAGTTCTTGATTAGACGAGTCAGCTATTCTAAATTTTTTTCCCCTTTGATCATCAAGCGTTTCTATATGCAGTTCTTTCAGTTTATCATAATCTATTTTTAAATCATTCGCATGGCTTATTGATTTTTGCAGGACGGCTTTGATAGCATTACCGTTATTGGAAACCTTTTTTATTTCTGTAATAAACTATACATATATATAGATATTTTTTTACGAATATTATAATAAGTTCAAGAAAATTTGTATTTATATTGAGATCAATACCTTTATCATTGCTTGAATATCTTGTTCAAAATCCATCATCATATCTGATTCCTGCATATCAGTATTATATAATATTTCCGGGAATATGTTAGAAAATTCTTTGATGAGGAAACAAAATTCTTTTTCTATTAAGTTGGAATCCAAGTTCTGATAATTGTTTAGTTGTGAAATATTTTCCATAAACTCCTTCGTTTTGTTTAAAACTTGAATAAGATCTGTTTTATGAAAGATAACTTCACTCTTTTGATTCATTTGTAACCTATTGATAAATGTTTCTACAGTATCAACACGATTCATTAATGAACAACAAATATTTTTATTGTATTGAATATCATTGAAAATTGTTTTAATTTTAAATATCTTAACAAAAATGATGGAAATATCATTTTGATGCAATTCACTTTCTTTGGGTGGTTCTTTTTTAAAATTGAAATTAAAAACAATCAATGGCAATACTAAGAAGCGAATAAAATTAATAAATTTAACGAAAAAAGGTAACAAAATAGGAATTGAAATTTGAAAACGGATAGATGCGTAGATAATCATAGTTAAATTTGCAAAAATTAAAATGTCAGAATAATAATCACGAGAGACTTTCGATTAATAGTAAATCACATTCAGAGCACGATAATAATGCTTTTAGTCACGTTTTAGCATTTATGGAATTACAGTGGGATTTACTACAAAGATATAAAACTAAGTAAGTACGTACAGTTCGTACGAAATTATTTAATTTGGGGGGCTTAATTGATATTAGTCAATTCTAAATATATGGTATCTTATACTTTTGGGGTTTGGCCTAAATTGACCAATTACGGGTATCGGAAATGATATAGATCAAATAAAAACTTCATTTCACAATGCAATTATAAATTTAGAAACTATAAAGAAACTTTTTTTTTATGATTGTTTTTCAAAAAGCTTAATATGATTACTTTCTCGGGTAATCATCATATGATTGTGAAATAGTAAAAATCAGCATAGTAATTGATTTGGAATATGGCTGAACCTTATTACAAGTAAAGAGACTGTTTCACTCAATATATCTCAAAAAGTCAATTGCAATAATCACTATTTCAATTACTATTTTCGATAGGGGTTACACATCTTTACTCACACAAGACATCTATACGTTCCGCTCAATACATTCCTGATAACTCTAACCACAATGTCCAATGAA